TCCAGCTGCTGGAGCAGAACACAAAGTCTGGCGTCATCTATGAATCACAGGGGTGGTAGCGCTATGGACACCTCTGCAACCGTGCCGATTGGCCGTTCATTGTCACATGGAGCGAGCCACCAGCATTTCCAGGAGGTCTACAAGGATCTACTTATATCCAGCTCGTCACCCGGCCAGCTGCTAATTAAATAAAACATCACCAACTGAAGGAAAAAAACTGAGCTGCCTCTAGCACGGGGGTAGCCAAACACCGGCCCTCCAGCTGTGGTGAAACTACCAATCCCATGATGCATCTCTCTCCGGGAGTCATGTCTGTGGCTGTGAGAATGTTGCAATGCCTCATGGGATTTGTAGTTCCACCACAGCTGGAGGACCAGTGTTTGGCTACCCCTGCTCTAGCAGATAGGATGTCTGGGCAACAGTAGGGGCCACCCCTAGACTGTGCTTTTGTTATTGTGCCCAGTGCCCTAGTCCTGCAGGTGCCACTATAACCCAATGTACACAATCAAAAGATCTCTGCTGTGTCCTTCAACAAAATATATTTTTTCACTTCCTATTGTCGAAGGACGCAGCAGAGATCTTTAGATTGTGTACATTGGGTTATAGTGCCACCTGCAGGACTAGGACACTGGGCACAATAACAAAAGCACAGACCCCTGCTGGTGGCAGCCTGACCCTGACAGGAGCTCTAACCTTCATACAAGAACATTAGTTGGAAAATCCTTCTTACCGAGGCTTCCCTAAGGCCTTGTTCACACCAAATGCAGAGCAGATCCGGTCAGGTTTCTGCACACGCACACTAGCCTTTTAGACGCGTTTGACGCATTTTTGATGCGTTCCGGGCTCTTTTTGGTAAAAAAAATTAAAAATGTACGTTTAAAAAATGGGCTTCCAATGTGTTTCAGGCATTTGTATGCGTTTTTGATGCGTTCCAGAGCAGGTAAAATAGGGCCTGCTGCAGTTTTTTTCACCTGCTCTGGATCTGCACGCTGCGGTGTGAACGGGAGCAAAAAATACCATTGGAATACATTGGACGCAGTTTTGATCCGCTCTGCACCTGCTCCACTCTGCACCTGATCTGCTCCGCGCTTGGTGTGAACAAGCCCTTAAACTTCTAAGTTCCGGAGAAGGATGAC